TCGGGAGACTGAGGCAGGAGGATCACTGTGAGTTCGAGACCAGCCTGGGCTACATAGTGAGTTCCAGGTCAGTCTCAACTACATAGTGAGACCCTGTCTCAAAAAACCAAAACAGTAATAAAAAAAATAAAATGAGAGAGCGGCAGCCTGCCAACCTCCACCACTGCAGTCTCCATGCCTGGCCTGCTATGCTTCTCAGTAACAGAAACCCTAATTGTCCCCTCTGCTGTTGTTCTGAGACAGGATCTCACTAAGTCATCTAGGCTGGCCTTGAACTCTTGAGCTCCAGGGATCCTCCTGCTTCAGCCTCCTAAGCCACTGAAACCACAGACACAGCAATGACCGCTGTAACCTTCCTGTGAAATGTGGAGGAACCTGAGGCAGAGAAGGGACTTGCAGGCGCCCAGCTCTCACAGCGCCCAGCCGATGTGCTGCTAAGCCTCCTCTCCAGATGCGGCCGCAACCTTCGTGCGAACAGGCGTGGGACAGAAGCGGGGACTCAGATTTTCGTGTACACACAGTGCACTGCCTGAGGGGAAGAGGCTGCAGCTCGGCTGGGCCAGTGAGGGGTCCCGAGCGGGAGGCGGGGCAGGGCCAGGGGGCCCCACCGTGCAGGCCTAACCTCTGGCGACACCTCGCCAGACCTGGTACCTCCTAAGAAACACGGGGAGCCACACACCCAACACCACGCGTGCGGCAGGCAGAGGCAACGTCAGAGGCGCTGCCTGAGGAGGGCGATTTCTCACCGTGTCCCGAGATGACATTTGAGTCACACGTGGTGGTGCGCATCTGTCCTCCCAGCACTCTGGGAGTGTGAGGCAGAAGGCCACTTGGCAACTCAGCAAGACCCAGTCTGAAGATAAAAAATAAAACGGCCTGGGGATGTCACTCAATGGGAAATCCTGAGTTCAATCCCCAGTACTGCAAGAAGGAAAAAAAGGGAGAGAACATTTGCCTGTTTGGTGCTTTGGGTTATTTGAGACAGGGTCTTGAAATATAGCCCAGGCTGACCTCGAACTTGTAGCAATCCTCCTGCCTCAGCCTCCCATGTGCCAGGATCACAGGCATGTGCTACCGTGCCTGCCTTAGAGAGGAAGTTTGATTAAGAACGGAACAGTCAGTCGGCAGGGGATTTAGCTCAGTGCTGCCGCTGCCAGCCTCGCAAGTGCAAGGTCCTGAGTTCTATCCCTGGTACCCCCACACACACACGAAACCACACAACTGTCCCAACCCTGCCTCAGCACCAACCCCTGCCACAGTGAACTGGCCTCAGAGGTACCATGGTTGTGGGGAAGCCCTCCCACCTGTGCGCCCACCAGGGTACGCAGTGAGTGCTCCCCAAGGTCACTGCCCTGGGTATACAGCAGGTAGTGGCCCCTGCTTGCACAGGTCTCATGCAGGCAGGAAGGTGGGGCCGTGCTGTCACTTGCGCCCAAGGACAGCTGAGCAGCAGGCCAGAATGATGCCCAGAAGACTCTGGCTGCGTCTTCCCTCTTTCCTGTCTCACTGTCCTGAGGGTCAGGCCCCCAGGGTGCTCACCAGGGAGCTGCAACCCAGCTCTTTTTTTGTATTTGAGACAGGGTCTCTTATGCAGCCCAGGCTGACCTTGAACTCAGAGTGATCCTCCTGCCTCGGCCTCCTGAGTGCTGGGATGACAGGTGTGCGCCACCACACCTGGCCCCCCAGCTCTTTTTATTTAAGAAAGGAACTCGCTAAATTGCCCAGGCTGTGCTCATACTTGTGACCCTCCTGCCTCTGCTTCCTGAGTAGCTAGGGTGACAGGCAAGCTGCAGAGCACCTGGCCTCTTCTTTTAAAATCTCAAAACACCCTGGGGGTTTCCTTGTTTCCTGAATGCTGTATGTGTCTTCTTAGCTACAAGGGTAAGACTTGCTTGGTATGGATGATTACTAGAGTACAAGAGGCTTAAAACTCACACTCCAGCTCATCATCATTATTTTGAGACAGGGTCTCACTGAGTACCCTGGGCTGGCCTTGAACTCACCACAACCCTCCTGCCTCAGCCTCCCCAGTGCTGAGATAATAAGGGTACACCACCATGCCCAGCCCTCACCATTTTCTTACGGAAAAACTGCAGAGTCTGATTTTCCAATCAGCAGTGGGTCTTTTGCTCATCCAGGAGCACCCATTTCTATCACGCTCCATTTCTGGGGGCTCTCAGGGCAGGGAGGGGTGCCCAGGCCTGCACGGTGAAGAAAATGACAAGGGCCGATCAGCACTGCGGACTCTGGCCTGCTCTCCTGCCACACACGGCACCAGCTCCCACCAGGGAAGACCTCGTGAGGCTTGGCGAGTATCTTAGAAGCTCAAACCTAGTTCCAAAGATGAAGCACTGGAGGCAGGAAACAGCTCACTAAGGCTGGCTCTGCTGCATTCATGCCCAGCCACCTTGAGCCAAGGTGCAGCCCACCAGGCCTCTCCCGCCACCAGAGAAAGAAACCCCAGTCTCCGTGCTGCTACACAGTGCTCACATTTCAACAAATATGAAAGATGTTTGTAAGCCTGGTGCAGAGTCACCTGCCTCTCACCCCAGCTAGGGAAGGCTGAGGCAGGGTGATCACAAGTTCAGCCTTGCCTGGTCAACTCAGCAAGACCTCGTTGCAAAATATTTTAAAGAGGGCCGGGCGTGGTGGTGCACACCTGAAATCCCAGCATTCGGGAGGCTGAGGCAGGAGGATCGCTGTGAGCTCAAGACCAGCCTGGGCTACACAGTGTTCCAGGTCAGTCTCAAATACATAGTGAGACCCTGTCTCAAACCGCCCCCCCAAAAAAATTTTTTTTAAAAAGGACTGCAATGGAACTTGCCTAACAGTGCAAAGCCCCCAGGTTCCACCCCTGGTACTGGAAAAAAAAAAAAAAAAAAAAAGAGAGAGAGAAATTACACATTCAAATGGTTCTGGGTAAAGAAAACAGCCTGGTGATGCCCAGTCCAGCATGGGTAATTCAGTGACTTAGACTCTGTCTCAAAATAAAAATCAAAAAGGGCTGGGGATGCACCTGTGGGAAGACCCTAGGTTCTGTCCTCAATATCACATTTAAAAAAAGAGCGCAGAGAAAAAAGGAGAAAAAGAGCCCAAAGACTACGTACCCAGGCTGGTTTTCTGGCTCAATCCAATTCTATTTTGCTCTCTAGCTAATCGGCATTTTATAAGTTTTGACAATGAATATCCATTGATTATAAGAACTTTTAAACAAAGGAATGAGAGCCACTTAAAGCTGGGTGTGGTGATGCACACCTGTAACCCCAGCACTCGGGGAGGCTGAGGCAGGACGCTCATAAGTTCAAGATGAACCTGGGCAACTTAAGGACTTAGCGAGATCCCGTCTCAAAATGTTAAGAAGTGTGCAAAGACCGGGGATAGAGATCAGTGTGTAGGCCCTAAGCTTAACCCCCAGGACCATAAGCAAACAGGCCACTGAGGGCCACCGTGACAACAGCTTGTGACATGCCTGTCCTGGTCTCTGCCCACGGGAACAGGCCCGGGAGGGTTGCAGTGTGAGTGTCACCGCGCCAGCCACAGCACGAGCAGTGACAGCAGGCACTAAGTACAAGGTGAAGCCGAGCCCAGGACAGCGACTCATCCGTACCACTGTGGAGGCTGGGCGGGGCTGAGGGACAGGCAGGGGCCACCAGCAGCAGAGCTGAGCCTCACACAGGACAGGCACAGGCTCCCCACGGCCGGGGAAACCACTCCAGTTCTCAAAGGCACCCTGATCAGCCGCCCCTGGAGACCACACAACCTGGCGGATACTGGGCTCTGCCACAGGGGACAGCCACACGGGCACCCAGGCACGTTGGGCGTACTGATCCAGGCAGGCCACTTCCAGACACAGGGAAACCCGGCTCGAAGGGCTGCAGGAAAAGGCTCAGTCCCACCAGGAAGGCGCAGAGACCGGATCTGAACCACACCTGGTGGCCCCGGCCAGGAACACATATGCTGCGAGGCACTGGGCTCTGACAACCTCACTTTTTTGTTGTTTTCTGAGGCAGGGTCTGGCTGTGTAGTCCAGGTTGGCCTCAAACTCAAGGCGATCTTCCTGCCTCAGCCTCCCTTCCTCAGCTGGTCTGACAGGCGGGCACCACCACGCCCTAGTAACTCCAGGCTGACAGATCTGAGGGCTGGACGTGCGGCCCCACTACAAGTGCTCACTTGACGGGCAGGGGCCTGGGTTCCAGTACTGGCTCCATGGAGACACAGGACAGCAGGCGATCCTGAGACTCGTCTTTAAAAGCATCTAAGGACGCCACACTGCTGCTAGTGGTATCCGATGAGGTCACGGCCACAGCAGGAGCTGCTCACCGAGTTCGATCCCCAGTACAAAACAAAAAAATTTTAAAAAACCATACAGAGAGCCAGGCATAGTGGCATGGGCCAGGAAATCCTAGCTACGCAGGAGTCTGAGGCAGGAGGATCACTTGAGCACTGGAGTTTGTGGACAGCCTAGGCTACACAATGAGACTCCATTTAAAAGCTATAGAAACCCAAGTTCCCTTTTTAAAATGAGCTTTTTGGTTTTTTTTTTGGTTTTTTGAGACAGGGTCTATGTAGTTGAGACTGACCTGGAACTCACTATGTAGCCCAGGCTGGTCTCGAACTCACAGGGATCCTCCTGCCTCAGTCTCCTGAGTGCTGGGATTACAGGTATACGCCACTACGCCTGGCAAAAATGAGCTTTATTTTTAATGTGAATAAATTGTGAAAGCCTATTTTCTCCCTCTAGGTTTACCTGAGTCAAGATTCCAAAACCTAAAACAAACAAATCAAAAAACCGTAGAATTAGTCTGCTGATTACCAATATTTCATTTTAGCAAAAAAATCAGGGCTCCCCTTCAAAGACACTTCTGAGCTGGGCGCAGTGGCGCACACCTATAATCCTAGCACTTGGGAGGCTGAGGCAGGAAGGAGCAAGCACTGCAGGTACCAGGCCAGCCTGAACTACACAGAGACCCTGTCTCAAACAAACAAAACATTCAAGCAGCTGTAAGTCGAGGGCGCCCAGGGTGCCTTTATTTAACAAAGCCATTCAAAGCAAAGCAAATTTTCGAACCCCCACCAACCAGGAGCAAGCATCCTGTGCTCCCCTTCCTCCAACATAAGCCCACGTCCCCCTGGCCGCCTAACAGGTCAGTCAGTGACAGGTGACCTCACGGCAGCAGGTGGCATGAGGGGAATGCGGAGGGCGCCTTGGGCCGAACCTGCCGCCCATCACACCCAGTGCTTGGCTCGTGACCCACAGCCACAGACGCTGCCAGAAAGAGGCTTCCTCCGGCTCGCAGGCGGCAACGCTTCTGCTCAGGTGCTCCCAGGATTTGTGAGTCAGAACAACTTGGACCAGAAGGGAGGTTATGAAAACCAAACCAAGGATGGTCCCAAATCTGAGACAGGCCGCTACACCTGCTCCCGGCGGCAAAGTTGCTGCGATGCAGGCCTTCCGAGACCTTCCTCCAGGCAGGAGCTCCAGGCTGGGGAGGACGGCTCCACCCACCGCGAGCTGGGGCTGCTGGGACGGCCCTGGTTTACTTTAAAAACACCCTTGAAGTCATCGGGAACAGGAAAGGCAGATTCCACATCCGGGCAGGTGAGTTCTGGTTCCGCCTCTCAGCTCAGGAGCCAAAGAGCCTGCGAAAGTCAGAGGGCAGTGGTGACCACGTGGCACAGAGGTGACAGTGCTCAGGGCGCCAGAGATGACTGCGTAGCTGTCATTTTCTGATTTTAAAAATAAGTGTGTGGGGCAGGGGATTTAGCTCAGTGGTTCCACCGCCTGCCTTGCAAGCACAAGGACCCGAAGTTCGAGCCCTGGTACCAAAAAAAAAATTAAAAACATGTTTCTTTGGACCAGGGATTTAGTTCAGGGGTTCTACAGCCTGCCTCCCAAGTACAAGGTCCTGAGTTTGATCCCTGGTACCAAGAAAAAAAAAGCGGGGGGGAATGCATTGTACAACACCAAAATACTTACTTTAACTACAAAAGTGAATATTAAAAAAGTAAGCATAAACCTGGGCTTTGTGGGGCTCAGAGATGCCACCACCTGCCTCACCAGTACAAGCACCCAAGTGCAATCCCTGGTACCAAAAACAAAACAAAAAACTCTGGCTTTATGGCACCCGCCTGTGATCTCAGTCGTCAGGAGGCTGAGGCAGGAGGATCGCCATGAGTGGGAAGCCAGTCTGGGCTAGAGTGAGTTCAGGACCAGTCTGAACTGCACAAGACCCTGCCTCAAACAAAACGCAACGATCAGGCTGGGGATTTAGCTCAATGGTTCTGCTGCCCGCCTCAGGAGAGCAAGGACTCAAGTTTGACCCCTGTACCACAAAACAAAAACACAGCAGTCACTTCCATCGCATTTACACTGCATTCAGGGTTGTAAATTACCACCCAGTGAGTCAGACAACGCGGGAGGGCGAGTGCAGGGTCTAAATGAACCCTACACCCTCATACAGGACTCACGTCTATGGGGTCTGAGATCCGAAGGAGCCCTGGGGATGCAGGGACCAAAGCACTTTTATGAATGTGTAACCCATTAGCACATTTGTGCCACTACAGTCGAGGGTGACTTCCAGGACTTAAACAGACCACTAAACAGACTGCTACAGGGCACTGCGTTCAGTCACAAGCGCGTGGAACAGCAAAGCCCTAGAGACGATGCCATTGCCCACAGGGCCTGGCCCTGCTCTGCATGCTATGACACAGCCCTACGGGGGACCTCGGAGCTGCCAAACACACAGGCTGGGGCTTTCCGTGCCACCCCTGTACCAGTCCAGAAACTGCAACCTGGTCCAACAGAAAATGGCTATTTTGAAAGAGTAACAGGTGCACGGACAGTGGACCTCTACTTCACACCTATAAAACCTAACAGGAGGCTGAGCAGGAGGGCTGCTGTGAGTTCAGGGCGACCCTGGGCTACACGGCGAGACCCGGTCTCACAGAACAAAAACAAGCTGGGGATTTAGGTCAGTGGTTCCTACGCCTGCCTCACAAGTGCAAGGACCCAAGTTCCATCCCCGGTACAAAAATAAATTAATTAATTAACTGATAAAATAAAGTTTAAAAGTTCCCGGTCACCTTTAGAAAAGAGTACACTACCAAAGCTGCTGGAAAGCGGAGGAACTGGGACCCTATACACCGCAGGGAGGAGTGTAACACCCCCCAGTACTCTGGAAAATGGTCTTCGGTGTCTCCAGAATACCTGCACAATCCTGATGCAACCTAGCAAATTCACGCCCAGGTTTATACTCAGGAACATGAAACTTGGCCATGCGTAAGCGCCTGTGCTCGAGCATTCTCGTCAGTACTGTCCCAGAGACAAAAGGAAAGGAGCCGCCACTCCAGCAGCTGACAGGGACACCAGGGATGCCGTGCTTATCCGCCAACTTCTTCGTGATTTCTTCACACTTCCAAAGTAGCTCAGCTCAACCACTGCCGAGGATGCAGGGAACGATAATTTCTTTTTCTTTCTTTCTTTAGTTTTTATGGCACTGGGGATGGAACTGGAATGCAGAACTTTCTTGCTGAGCTATGTTTTATTTTTGTTTGGTTTCATTTTGGTACCGGGGATTGAACTCGGGTCCTTGCGCTTGCAAGGCAGGCCACCGAACCGCTGAGCTAAATCCCCGGCCCTATGTTTTATTTTTGAAATGAGACAGAAAAGTAGAATGGCTGACAGGTGGGACACCAGTCCAGTACGACATTGGCCATGAGCAGTTTTCTTTCAGCCGAAGTAAATCCATCCTTGGCAGACCCTGCCCTGAAATGACGCATATTCCAAATACACGTTTCCCTTATCTAGCCAACCTTACCCCGAACCAACGTGTTCTAACCTGAGTTTGAACCTGCTACAGGCCAATCAGTAATAACGATGTAACCAATCATCTGCTTGCTCTGCTTCTGTACTCAGTTCCTGCTTACAACCCGCATATAAACTGCAGCAGGACAAAAGACAGCTTCCTGGTCTTCCTGCAACCTGACCTACAGGAACCTTAGTGACAGTTGAACCCAGCTGGACCCTCACTCATGTGGAGAGTTCATTTTGCAAGCAGAAGCGAAATACAAAAGTGCATGCTGAATGCACAGGGAATGATCTTCCCACGGGTCACTCGGGAGACAACGCTGAGGGGAGGAGGCTGGACTCACACGATCATGCAGAACATCATGAAGACGTTCCACAGGGCGATGAAGATCCGGAAGTATCGGAGGCTCAGTAAGAACTCCCGGATGTTGTCACCTGCAAAGCCAGAAAGCGCTTTTAGTGCCCACGTGTCCGCTGCGGTGGGCTCCTGTGACTTCTACCTCCTCAGCTCCCCACCCAGAACGTGTGGGCTGGGGCAGCCACTGACCAATCCCCTGACATCACCAAGCCTGGAAACTACTGATTTTCAGGGTGGGGCACATGACTTGAATCTGTCTAATCAGGCTCTGTCCTGAGACTTCTGCCCCCGCAACACACACACACATACACACACACACACACACACACACACACACACACACACAGAAAAAGACTCTAACTCATCTTTTGAGGGGTTTGCTACGCTGGAAAATATAAACTCAGTGCTCTAAGAAAGGTTCAGAAAACTAGTCTATAGGCCAAATCCAGCCCTTTCCACCTATGTTTTTTCTGCTATGGTCTGTGAACTAAAATGGTTTTACAATTTCAAATTTTAAAAGATCAAAAGAATATTTTTGAGACAAAAGTGATATGAAATTCAAGTGTCTGTGTCTACGAATAAATCTTTATTGGCACACCCTCACGTCCACTATCTTCTCTGGCTGCCTCTATGTCGTCACAGCAGAGCACAGCTCTTGCACCAAGGAGCTGCAAGTATTTACCTAGTGGCCATTTACAGAAGAACCTGTCTTGCCTGGGGGCCATCCCTACGCACAAATCATCATTACAAAGAAAAAAGGAACTAAGAGCTGGTGAGAGTCAGACGTTAAAGGGCTGCACCGAACCCTGACCCCAGGGGCACAGAACATAAGATTCCATTAACCACTTTGAGCTGCGTTGGAAACGCTGGAAAATAAAACAACCCCTAGGGCTGGGGTTATAGTTCAGTGGTGAGTACAAGATCCTGGGTTCTATTACCAGCACACACATACACACACATATAAAAAGTAGATAGAAAGCATCCCCAGACAGGCATGGTAGCGCACGCCTGTCATCCGAGCACTCTGGCAGGCTGAGGCAGGAGGATCCAAAGTTCAAGCCCAGCCAGGGCAACCTAATGACTTAGCAAGATCCTGTTGCAAAGTAAAAAGTTTTAAGGAGGGGGCTGGAGATGTACACCAATGCAGAGGCCTGGGTACTGGGTTAAATCTCCAGTATTGCCAAAAGAGAGGGGAAAAACATCCTTCATTTGCTCAACTCAAACTGGTATACGCTTTGGGGATTCAGGCTGGCCTCTGATGCCAAAAACAAAACTCCCTGTAAAGGGAGGCGGCTGGTACATTAGGACCCAGAGAGCCAGGGGGCTCTGGAACCTTGCTCGGGGCTTGAGGGCTCCAGAATGACAAGAATGCCTGTGAGCCACCAGATGCTACCTGAAGCATCACACACAGACCTGCTCGCAGCGCTTCCGGCAATCCAACATCTCAGCCCACAGGGTAGATGAGCTGGGGATTACCCAACCCACAGGCGAGCTGTGGGCAGGCGGGAATGCAACCTTCATCTGGAATCACTAGGACACAGGTCTGTCCCCGCGGTGCTCGAAAAGCACCACCCGGCCTAGGACAGTGACGGCGGCCGGCCGGCCATCAAGAGCTGGCGACAGAGGTCCCTCATCTCAGGCAGTAGCCAAGCACAGGGTGCAGGGAGGAACAAGACCCAGCAGCACCCAGGAAGCAAAGTGCCGGCCCAGACGTGGGGTGGGATTCACGCAGACGCACTGTCTCACGCAGACAGATGACCTCTGTACCACACCTGGTCCGGCGCCTGGCTTGTCTGTGCCCGGGCGCTGTGTGAGCTGACGGCAGACACACTCAGGGAGGGTCCGGGGGCCAGCCAGGCACAGAGGGGCAGGGGCAGGTACAGAGCCCCGCCCAGAGGAAGCCCTGGGGAGAACGCAGCCTGTCGGGAAACGGCAGATCCAGGGCACGCAGAGACCCCTGCTCTGCCCAAGACTTCTGTCACTCCTGAGCCCGGTCCCAGCCTCCCACCCAGCTCAGTTCCAAGCCAGACCTGTAAAGCCCTAGGCCTTCCCCAGCCTGGTCAGGCACGACATACCTGCCAGATAGCTAGAGGGCTGGATGGGTGAATCGACAGTGGACGAATCCATGGAGAGAGGGATGCGTGGATGAATCAACGGATGCTGAATCAATGAACGGATGTGTGGATGGAGGGTGAATGGGGAAGGGATGGACAGATGGATGGGTGAAGTGACAGATGAATCGACGGTGGATGGTCAACTGAGGCTACTAACTCTGGGGCCAGGCAGGACGCACGCCTGTAATGTAAGCACTTGGGAGGCTGAGGCAGGAGGATCACCCTGGGCTCCACAGTGTGTTTAAGGCCAGCCTGAACTGCCTGGAGAGACCCTGTCTTTAAAAAAAAAAAAAAAGGAAGGAAGGAAGAAAGAAAGAAAGAAAAGAAAAGAAAAGTACAAACTCTGGGGTCAAAATGCCCAGTTTCCCCACACCTGCCTTGAAAGCACAAGGTCCTGAGTTCAATACCCAGTACTGAGAAAAAAGAAAAATAACCAATAAAACAGTTTTCAATCCTATCACTCGTCTGCTGTGTGGCCACAGGCAAGTTGAGCCACATCTCTGCGCCTCAGTTTCCTCACATGTAAAATGGGAAAATGAGCCTCAGCTTCTATGGACAGAGGTGGAAGCAAACACCAGTAGGAAACCCTCAGAGCAGCCCCCCACAGGCCGCCCTGACAGAGGGGAGCTGCTGCTCAGCGCGCCTGTCCTCCTCAGGCCACGCTGTGTCCAGGGCACCCATCGCCTGCTGTGACACCACCTCCCGGAAGGGCCTCACACACCCGGGCTCCCAGCTTCTCTATTTAGGAGCCATTTCTCCCATCACAGGTGAAAGTTACCCCACGCCCAACTCTAGCCCAGCACCCAGTCCAGCAGCTGGTGACGAGCAGGCACACAGTCAACGCCTGATGACTATGTTTGCTGTGCTGGGATCGAATCCTGAGCCTGCGCAAGCTAGACGAACATTCACCACTCAGCCGTGAATTCACTGGCAGCCTGAGGAGCGCGCAACTCCCAGGCTCTGTACCGGTTCCTTTAGACTCAAATAGTCAAAAGATTAATCAGTATGAAGTACATGTCTGGAGACCACCAAGGGCTGGGGGGGGTGAGATGCTATAATACGAACGGGGCTGCGTGGGGTGAGCAGAGTCCACAGGCCCTGCCTTAGTGGGGTCCTGCTCCTCAACCTCCCTCAGGTGACAAGGGATCCCCAATCCCAAGTCACGGAGGCGCTCTACCACTGATCTATGGCTACAGCCCTTTTTATAATGAGGCAGGATCTCACCAAGGTGAACTTGTGATCCTCCCGCCTCAACCTCCAAGAAGCTGAAATTATAAGCACACACCACCACACACAGCTCCATCTTTTTTTTTTTTTTTTTTTTACTGGAGATCAAATCCAGGGCCCTGACACCGAGCCACATCCCCAGCCCAAAGTCTTGCTAAGGCACTAAGTGACTAGGCTGGGCTCGCACTTGTGATTTTCCTGCCTCATCCTCCCAGAGGGCTGAAATTATAGGCACACACCATCACACCAATCTCCACAATTTTTTAAAAAGCCAATTTTTAAAATTTGATTTTTTTTTTCTCAGTGGCACCGTTCCTGCCTCACAAATACAAGGTCCCAAATTCAATCTCCAGTACCAAAAATTTTTTTGACTTTTTTAAGAAAAATCAGAAATCAATGTACCAGTAAATATTTTGCTATAAAAAAAAAACAGAATTCTGAACTCTTCTATAAAATTTCCCAATCTACTCAAAACCGAATGTTGCCATCTTATTTACAAAACGACAAAGGTCCTCCGAAAGCAACAGCTAAGAGAGGAACAGCTACGGTGAGGCTTTCCTGCTCAGTCACTGATTCACCGCACTTCCGGCTGGGTGTGAGGGGACCGCAGCGCAGAGCTGCAGGAAATGCCCAGGGGAGAAGTGGGCAGGTTCATTCGCACATTCGCATACGATCAGTTAAAAAGAGAACCTGCCAAGAAAGGACGGTCCTCTGAGGTGCACTGTGCAACTCCAGGGTCCAGAAGGGAGCTCTTACCTGTGCTGGGCTCCCTCGATTCTTCCCCAAAGCCCTGCGCGTCCTTCTTCTTCCTACAGAGAGGAGCACACAGTGCCCACTTTCACTGGGACGCACAGGCCATGCAGGGCCCGACCCTGACACCAGCTCAGAAGGCATGGGCCCGAGCGCCAGCTCCAGCCCCGCGGCCCAACGTTCCTCTGTGGGCACCACCGACCTTGCCCGACCGAGGAGCCAAACAAGGAATGCGGGACGAGGGTCTGGGGCTCACCGGACAGTAAGTTTTTAAAAGGCGCAGATCCGCGCCAAGAGGAAAAAGGAGCCAAAAGCAAGGTGGGGGCGTGGCCAGAGCGGGACTCCAACGTGGGCGTGGCCTGAGGCGTGGGCGGGACCTAGGACGTGGGACGGGCTTACACCCTCGGGGGCGGGCCTACGAGTTTCCAGGGTGGAGCCACAGCCCAACAAGAGCTACTCACAATTTAAAGTTGAGCACGGCCCCAGCGTTCATCAGCAGCGTCCTGCGAAGGAAGAATTACGTTTACTAAGTGAGTCCCCCGCCCCCACTGGCTCTCTTTCCCCACCTCGGGTTCCCCTAATTACCCGAACAGCAGGATGTCTCCGATCATCGTTACAGGCGAAGCAGCCGTCAGAACCGGAAGCGGAAGTCCCCGGGAGGGAGGGAAAAGGAGCATCAACCGACCATTCCTGAAACAACGGTGGCGAGGACCGAGCCAATCGGAGGCCAAGGCAGGAAGGTGTGTCCCGCCCACGAGGGCCAGGGGAATGCGAGCGCCCCTCCTCGCCCGGGAGGCCCTGTGAGACAAGGAAGCAAGGCGGGACTGGGCGTGACGTCACCGGAGGGGCGGTGCCTTGGGACAAACTTTCTCGCGTCCTACGCTTGTCGCACTTGCGTCTGGGTGAGCGAGCAGAAGTTCTGTGCCAAGAGGCCCCTAGCTCGCAGGGGTCTGAGATTCGGGTTTCTAATAAAACGGGGCCCGGACCCCTGAACTGCCCAGGGGCGGGGTCTGGTGCCACAGGCTCCAGATTGTGCGGCGCTCCAGTCGACTCCAGGAGAGGGCTCCTCCTAGCCGCGAGCTAGGCCGCGTCGCCTCTGAGCGGGCCCCAGAGGAAGGAGAGCGTCCTGCTTGGGCTCTACAGAAGACAAGGCCCAGCCTGTCCAGCAGCAGGGCGGGCGCCCGCGCGGG